ACAACTCTATTTGTGACCACCGCTTCAGCTGATTTAAATAAACTGAATTGGAACTAAGCAGAACACAGAGTTCTGACTGGCTTCTACATTAGGCCCTGACACGAACAACCTTTGAACAATGTCGTATCCTTCTGCTTTCAGAGCAAAATCAAAAGTAAGTCAGGGTGTGCTAGACCAACGCGTTCTCATCCCAAAGCGCCATATAGGACGCTTTTGCAAAAGCGTAAATATCCAACGCACATGGCACCCTTTAACGTCTAATGAGACGCTTCGGTTATGGTTAAGTTTAGGTAAGGTGTGGGGTAAGGGTTAGACCACTAGGGGGCACCTTCTGCCCAAATATATCTGCGTCCCATTTCACGTTAAAGGGTGCCATGTGCGTTGGATATTTACGCTTTTGCAAAAGCGTCCTATATGCCGCTTTGGGATGAGAACGGGCTCGCTAGACCGCACGAATGAAGATCAACAAAATCATTGTCTTTCTGTTCATTTGAGCACCTCAGTTGTAGCCTAGCTGTGGGGCGACTAAATTAGGAACAAAAATAATGGATTGAGCCCAGCTACGCTATTGCATTGATGTGTACATAAAAACGCAGTTTTTCTATGTGATGAACTTGCAGTGCAATAGCAGTTAAATGCATTATAATTTTGGAATTCTTTTTTCTTTATAATTGCTACGACACTGCACAAGCTGATTGGGTTACGATAATGAATAAAAGGGTAACTACAGTCTTAATTTAATTTAATTTCACCCAGTCAATTCTATACCAGAGGAATGATCAATCTTTGAAAAAAGCTACTCAATAAACTTAATTCCTTTTCCAAGCAAGCATGTCCAAACCTTTTGTCTTCAATGAAAATTAAAAAAAAAACTTGCCAGAAGACTGTTGTAAAAAAAAAAAGAAAGAAGAAATGAAAATAAGCTTGAATGATAGCAGGTTGATTTGAAAACCAATTTGAGGTTTAAAGTGACACGCTTGTTTAAATATATTTTCTGGAAAATAAGTCGCACCAGGTCAAAACTGAATTGCTGAGAAGACAAGTTATATTCTACTGTTATGTGAAATGTAATTTATACATTTCATTCCTACATTCAGAAATAATAGTAAAATAGCACTAAAAATTCAACATTTAAACACTTTAAAAATACGTACTATTTTATGTAACATTATTCAGAACAAAGTGTTAAACAAACATAAATTATACACAACAATTAATATAAACACAAAATTTATTTATTATATATTATATACATTTATTTAAAGCAAAACTAAAACTACTGGTGTATGGGAAATGTGATTTACAAATAAACTTGAGCTCACACACCTCTCTCATTCAGCACGAATCCAAATGAGTGTGCTTTTAATTGCAGTCGCAGCATGTTTAAGATGATAAAAAAGCGCAACTTATATATTCCAGACAATACAATATAAAGTATAGTATAGTTATTTCTCTTCCTTCGACCCTAATCTCTTTATTCTTCTCCTCGTTAAACTAGCATCTGCTAGGGTAAAGGGTTCTCCCCCTTACCCTTTCTCCCATGGGCCATCTGCTTCCTAACCCACACAAACACACTTACACTCAGTCCAACTAAAACCCTCTGAATTTTTAATGAGGCTTGCCACTGAGAAGAACAGCTTGCGGGGCTGCAGTGGCCGGGGGCAGGACCCTCTGGCTGCACAAGAGTGAACTCCTCTCTCTAGCCTTGCCAGAAAACACTAGGTCTACAGAGGAGGATCAGCAACACCCTTTGTAATTGCCCTGCACTGTGGGCCTCTTTAAATCTCAGTGACACCACGAGAAAAGAGGCGGAATAAAAAAACGAAATATGCTCAATTAGGTGGGTTGGGTGTAAAGCAGGGCTAAGTGTTCAGCGCAGTCTCATCCCAAGACGTCATTTAACTGACGTCTTGTGACCATACGTCAACATCCGCCTTTTTAGGGTACCCTTAAACGTCGGTTAGATGACATTATCGGATTCTAACCCTACTCCTAAACCTACCCCGTCACCTAACCGACGTTAAAGGTAAAGCGTCAGTTGTATGACGGCCCGGGATCGTCATGTAACCGACGTTTAAGGGTACCCTAAAAAGGCGGATGTTGACGTATGGTCAAAAGGCGTCAGTTATATGACTTCTTGGGATGTTAAAGCGTACGCATAGGTGACCAGCATTTTTCAGCTGACATAACCAATAATGATGTTTCTCCGGTCATGCAGCTGATACTACAAGCTAATGGGCCTTATGCTCTGTGATTTATTACTGCAAATCGAAAGTTATTTCATTTCTCAGGCATTTGAACATTTTAAAACGTGTGTCTTGACGCCTCAGTGCCTGGGGTAAACACTGTGAAGACGAACCTGAATGCTGAATTTGCAGATGGCACTGGTTAAATCAGCGACATTGGTTTGGTTGTAAATGTTGCTGTCATTACCAGCCTTGTACACATCAACATCAACGTCAGGTGCGCCCTGAAGGGTGAGTAGCTTTATGAATATGTAAATATCCTCAGAGAGATAAACAGAGAAGAAGAGACTAATAATGAGATAGAGAGGAGAGGCTAGTGAAAGCTAAATTAACAATGACAATTCTAGTAACATTTGCAATATGGTCTCATTTGTTAACATTAGTTGCTAACCCCAACTGTAACCCTAATGTATTAACTAACATGAACTAACCATGAACAATACACGTCTTACAACATTTATTAATGTATTGTGTGTTCATGTTAGTTCACAGTACATTATTTAATGCTAGTGAATGCAAATTTTGATTTTAATAATAGTAAATGTTGAAATTAACATTAACTAAGATTAATAAATGCTATAAAATTGTGTTGATCATTGGTAGTTCATGTTAGCTTAAGTAGTTAACTGTTAACTAATAAAACCTTATTGTAAAGTGTTACCAAAATTTTTAATCTTATCATTATCTATCAAACTAATAACATTCTCACATTTCTGGGAGTTCAAAATCTTTTGACTAATTATTATTAATAATTGTTTACTTTTGCATACAGTTTTATACAGCAGTGTTAATTTTGACAGCGAATTCTGATTTAGTTTTAGTCATAGTCTTTTGACAAAAGTGGCATTCAGTTTTATTCATATTTTAGTCATCTGAATTGTTTCACACAGCACAGACTACAGCCGACAGCAAACTATACGCCTGCGTGTTCTGCGCCTGCGTATGAAATTAACTGTCTATATAAGCAGGTATCAATAGTCTATATTCATCATTTCAAAGGGAAAACAAAACAATAATATATAAGATATGCGAAACGGCCGACCGTCGGCTTGGACCGTCCCAGCCTTTATAACAACTTGCAACATTGTTAATTCTTTCAAGCATATATTTATTTGTATAAATTAAATGCAGATTATTCCTTATTAAAGCTATTACTGTTATTCAGTCAAAATCACTTAGTAATTTTTTTTGTGTTGTTTGATAAACATTAATGATGGACAGCGGCAGGTTTAATAGACTACTGTCACTTTAAGGCCGAATGCACGGATCCAATACACAGCAAGAATACATCAAATAATATCCCTCCCTAACATTTGTCTTGTTTTTATTAATGGAGGAAAATGGCAATAGATTTCTGTCATGGTTTTTGTCATTCAAAACTGGTTTTTGATGTTGTTACCATATATATATATATATATATATATATATATATATATATATATATATATATATATATATATATATATATATATATATAATGAAATTAAAACTGATTTGAAAAGAGGATTGAAGAGATTGTTCAACCAAAACTGAATTAACTTTCATTAAATGAACAACAAAAAAATCTTTTCACTAATTTTTCTAAATATATTTTGTGTTACCCAAAAGAAAGTCATACAGGTTTGAAACAACATGAGGGTGAGTAAATGATGACAGAATTTTCGTTTCAACTTTAAAAATGTTTTGTCAGGTAACCTAAGAAATTCCAGTATTGTTATACAAGTCAATAATAATACGTAATTAATGCTGAATACATTGGTTGCACCATCAAAGTTTATTTCTGTTTCAGGTCCAGTCCAAAAAGGCTCTTAAAGTAATAAGCAGTAGGTTTGTGTCGAAATATTTTTACTAATGATACCAGTTATGTGCTAAGACTCCTATACTGCAGTATGAATATAAAGCTCATGCGAGTAGCAAAATTGTGATAGTTGATATACGACACTTTTTAATACACATTTTCATCAGATACCTTGATAAGGAAGAAGTAGACAAAGCTCTATGAAACCCCATGTTCCTGAGATGGGAGACTGCAACAGTACAATGATACACATAGGGAACAAGAGTGAATCATAAATCAGTTACGCACTCCTTACCAGCATAATGAGCGAGGAGTAGCCTAAGTCTTGATCCTGATTAACAGGAAAGGATGAAAAGGGAAGCAAACCTGGTTTCTTTGTTGCTAATTTTGCCTTTTTTCTCTATTCGACATGCTGCCATGCCTCCTAATTCATCGGTGAAGGAGAAGGTGCTGAGATCATCTTCATGTCCTAACCTAAGGGGCATGATGAAGGGCTCTACTCTGACTTGATTCATTAGGACTCTGTGTAGCCTCTCGCTTTGCTGTGCACTTGTGTGTGCACAAGTGAAACTGACTGGCCTCCAGTGAAGGACAGTCAATGATGAATGGAGAGCATAAGCAGAATTTACAATCACTGTTTGTGTGAAATGAAATGGGACAAAAAGGCAAAAGTTGCATGTACACAAGTGAGGGAAACCAAACGAGAGGAGACTTTTCTGAGATCCCAATCACAGAGACAACAAACTGCAACCAAATTTTCACTAATCTGAGAAATTAATATTGTATCTAGACGGAATAAATCAGTATAATCATTAGAATAGCCTTGGGGCTGGTCTGTAACAATGTGATTGCTAAACATTATTTTAATTCTCAAGATTCGTGATAATTAAAAAAAAATGTTTAGTCAAGCTAAAGACTGAGAAAGGACACAGGAAGCCTCAGGCTAAACCACTCACTTTGTCACGGCTCTTCGTGCGGTGATGCTGGCGATGATGATGCTCTCGGGTCTCGGCATTGCCACGGCTTCGAACGTGCCCTTCCAGAACTTCTCAAAAAGCTGCTTTTCTCCCAGAAGTACACCGGTCATGGCGTGTCGATGTTCTGGGGGTGAATATCGAGAAGAACTGGGTCGGTTTTGTTCAGTAGTTTCAATGACTCCTCACACGGTCGGTTTGGTAACTGTGTGTAGGCGGCTGCACGAGGGAGCTGTCCAAGTTCTGAAACCAACGGATTGTTTGAAGAAATGCAGCTTCTTTTCTTAATGTTTCTGTTTTTTTCTAACGTGTTAAACGTTTTAACTTCTTCTGAGAGTCCGTTTTTACGTTTCCCCCATCAGTTCCATGACGACGGAACGGCGACCGTTTCAGCGGGCTTCTTCTATTTATTGGCTCGGTGTCCTCTCTCGTGCTTCATTCCTCTCAGCGCTCGCGCTTCCCGCCTTCATATCAATTTGAGAGTCTGAGCTCGCGACCTAAATCCTTTTTTGCGTTATAACTAATATCCATTTAACTCCTGGCAGCTAGAAATAAAAGTCCAGTGCCAGCGTGTCCATGTGTGTCTGTGTGGACGGAAGAGTTGTGACAGTCTCAGCTAACGGTGGCTCGTGCGCGTCGCGTTGTGAAGAACTCAGTTGATGGTGGCTGGTTTTTGTTGCGCGCACCTTGTGACGTTAAAGAAGAGGAGACTGGGGGGCTTTAGGTCACGGAGAGCGTGACCATCCCTCCCCGGTTGTTCTCTTTCTCTCTGACTTGAACAAAAGACTGTGCCTGTTGCCTTAATCAACATAACAAAAGAGGCAGGGGTCGGCGCAGAGGCAGCAGACGGAGCATGTGTTGTAGGCTCAATACTTACGAGGCAAAGCATTTCCCCTCATCAGCCCTCAGGGGCCTCAGTGAAACCACCCCCTCCCTCTCACAGCAACCACCTGTCACTGAAACCCCACCTGCACCTGCAGACTGCACAGGTGATAGTAGAATAAACAAAAGAACAACCCTCCTCAAAAAGTGCTATGTACACTGCTCATATTTGTCTTTCAATTTGAATGACAAAGTCAAAAGTTTGGAAACACCAATTTATTATATAACTATATTGTCAAGTCATCAAAGCTAACAAGCATAAAAGTTGGAATCATGTATAGAAAATATTGACAAATAAAAATATAGGCCTATGTCTCAAAGGTTTTTAAGATTACAAGAAACAAAAACAAAATATGAGTAACGCTTAATTAAATCCGAACAAAACAATAACTTAACCATTTTTTGTGTGTCCTAGGGGAATACAGGTTTAATATTGTAAAACAACTAATTAATTACTCAAATGATATACAACTCTGGCTTAAACTCAGAATCCTAATCCAAAAGTATGGCAACATGCTGTGAGAAGACTTGTGGTATATGTGATGAAAACTTGTCATTATTATAATAGGAGGTACAAACAGTATTAGTAGCTATTCAAAGCATGAAAATAAACCAAATGGGAGTAAAAATGACAAATTGCACGAAACCTTGCTTTATATTTGCAATGAACCGTAAATTCATATTTTAATTTATTTGTTGAGTATGTATCTATTATGCATCTGCATATGTAGCTATATTACATGCCTATTTACTGTATACTCTTTAATGACTTTAATGAGCTATTATAAAGTAAAATTTAAATCATGAGAAACAGAGTGTCCAAACTTCTGAAATGTAGCTATAGTGCTCAGCCACATTAGGGTACTTATCAAGGTGACACGAAATAATAAAAAAAAAAAGAGTAACACTATGATATTCTTCATTAATAACAGAACCACCATAATAGTGAACCTTGTTTTGAGTAAATTTTTTGTCTTTGGTCAAATGTATTTTTGAAAAGAGACTATTTGGATTAAGTTATTTGGTATAAAACTCCAAATCTTTACCCTTAATTAACATTATTTAAAGAAGGTAAATGATGAAATCTTTCATGGGATAAAAACGCAAAATTGAGTCCAAATGGGGTTCAGTCCAAAAGCCATGAAACCTTGATTTACAATATAAATTCATAGTTGAATTTAACTGTTAAGCATTTATCTGTAATACATCTGAATGTATATTTTATACTTACCATCATTAATAACTTAATGATAGCTAAAGTATCAGTACAATTAAGTTCACACATTTGACAAATTGATCAAAGTGTGATAATGAGTGACATGAATTAAGGGACATATGAAAACAGAGTACGCTGAAAGAAATACGATGACATTCAAATATGAAAGCATCTTAGCACTCATCATAAGCATAATACGTGTGAAGACAGGCTGATATCCTAAATGCCATTCATTAGTTCTGCTTATTTTACCAACTAACATGAAACTCCATGTGCATTGCCACCATTCACTTGATTATAAAAGAGAATCAGACTATGATGTGAATGAGGATTAAGCTTGGCATGCTTCAGTTGAACCAAATTCAAAGATTAGTCCATCATAACAACCCATATGCTGTGTTTATTCTGCTTTTTTCAACAAGCCTATGAGCAGATATCAAGCAGTTTTCTTTTTTCCCCATTTATCCAATTACAGTTGATTTTAAGTACTTAGTTATTAGCTTATTTCTGTGTAAAATGAGAATATATATTATACTAAATATTGTCAAATGGCAAAAACAATGTTAGAGAGATAGAGAGATCTCAGCATTTCAAAAATAGAAAAAGTACAATCAAGGTCCGATGTGAGTCGTCTTAAAAAATGTTTGTTTTTTTCATTAAATTACTTGACATCTCATCATATTTTTCTTTTTCATATTAAGAGGCATGGAGTTTTGGCTGTCAGAGCATCTCTATTTCCTCCCTGCTATCATGTCCATTAGAGAAGCCTGGCTCTATTCCTGTCAGCACATGAAACGGAATTGTGGGTAACTGCTCAATCCCGTCAGCTTTTGTTTAATTCCAGTAGTCAACATGTCAAGAGATGGGACACTCCATACACAGTAAGGGGACAGATCACTGACAGAAACAAACTAGCATGAAACATCATTCTGGATGCAAACTGTCACGGTAAGATGTTGATTCATATTTAATTTCCTTTGAGTGCATTCAAATATACAAATGCAAATTCATTTTGATAAATTTTGTACCGATTACTAAGAGAATGGACTGTCATCTCTAGAGGGGGAAATAACTCTTTTGTTACTCATTACTAATTGCATGTTGTAAATCGATTTGAAACTCAAATGTAGCCATATTAATTTGATTTTTGAAAAGTGGAAAACTTGAAAATGTAGGTTTAGGTCGAAATGAAAATATAATCTCTCACTAATTCGTGCCTTTACACATTCCAATATGTAATTGAAAATACTCAAAAATAGCATAAGTTTAATGTAAATCAGATTTGATGGTGCTACTCACATACATGAATGATTAAATCATAGTGGGCAAAAACAGCATAACCAGCTGCAGTGTCCTTAGCATGTTCTTCAATTACACATCACATGATTCACATTCACACACACAAACGTATCTCCACAGCTTGATTTATATAAGGACAAATCATCCGGAATCAACAGCCCAGTGATCTCTATCACAGTGAACAAATTAAATTGTAGCCAAAGGCAATCAGTTAATGAACCAGCAGTCTTGAAGCTCATTCTGTGTATTTGTGTGTGTGAATGCCACTGGATGACTTTGCATTGAAGCGAATTAGCTCTAAAGAAATATCAATGATCAATCATAAATTGCCATAATATGATTATGAATTGGCTCAGATTCACATATGATTATGAATATTTGGATCTTATTATAGTAAAATTCATATTACAATCAATCCTGTTTGTCCCGTGAACACTCAATGTTAATTGTTTAGTTGTTAATATCCGGGGGAGGGAATGTCTTTCTTACTATACAGTACTGCAAAGAGCCTGTAGTCAAAATCGAATTCGTAAAATTAACTTTGTTGCAAGCAGAGAATCAGAACCAAACAAGTTTTATTAACTCAAATAACTAAACAAAAGACACATACATGCTGAATGAAACGGAAGCAAGAAAACATCCAGTTAAAGGAGAACTCCGGTCAATTTTAACATTGAGCTCATTTTTTTGTACATTTGGAGTGCTGTCAGTACAACAAAAAAGACAAAAATCGGTGTTGCCTACACTGTGTAATCGTCTTTTTAAAATTTGCACCCTGTTGACTTCAATGGGGCATGTTCTAAACCTGCTTTTAGCCTCTTAACATCCTTGAATTGTCATTACGAGTGCACAGCCATGTGAGTGGTGTTATTAAGAGTGACCACGGTCAATCTGACTGCAGTAGATGTGAAAGATATGAATAAAAATGATGTTAATTCAGCCTAAAACAGCCATTCCTGTTTTCGGTCGATCCTGCTGTTTTTAAATCATTTAATTTGTCTTTTATTGCCCAGATTTCTAATTTTAAACCAACATTTTAATAGAACTTGAACAGGATGGATTTATATGTTCAGAAAAGTGTTGTTGTATACAAAACAAAATAAAATGTTCACAGAAAAATGTTCACAAGAAAAAAATGCTATGCTATTTTTATGAATTTTGAAATTTAAAGTGTGAAAAGTTGTCAATAAAAGACATTTTTGTGACAAAAACAGTGTCTTCATTTCACAGTACACAAAATGTATACAGTAATCCCTATTACAGTAGTAAAATATGTGTGGTGATGAAACAGTACTTTGATTGTTACTGTAAAAACGTATACAGTAGTTTTTAAAGTTGATGTAATTAAATTTACAGTAAGCATACTGTGAAATGAACTACAGCAACTTACTGCCAAATTGCTGCCAGCAAGTTACTGTAAATTTCACAGTAATCTTTTTACAGTGCACAGTAGTCGATTGTCGATCTCACGTGCGCGATCATTAGTGAATATCCAGCCCGTTCTCATCCTTTAACGTCATATAGAACGCTATATGCAAAAACGGCGCTATACTACGCACATGGCACCCTTTATCGTTAATATAACACGCGAACCCAAGCCGTTATAAATCCTTTAGCATGAATATGACACGCACACCCTACCCCACACCTAAACTTAGCCCTCACAGCACGTGTTATATTAACGATAACGGGTGCCATGTGCGTAGTATAACGCCGTTTTGTCATATAGCGTTCTATATGACGTTAAAGGATGAGAATGCGTTGGAATATCATCTCAAGTGCCCAAAGCACGGCGTCTTCAGCAGAGGCGCTTTCAGCTGGCTAAAAACGCTTTGGTGGACACACAGCCTAAATGCATCTTTGCTGAATAAAAGTATTAATAAATCCTACTGACCACAAACCTTTAAACAGCAGTATATAAATGCTCTAAAAATTGTTTCAATTAAGCTGTGCACTCAGACTGCTATGTTCATCGTTTCACTAAATACTCCTATAATCACTAGTAGACCACTAGTCAGACCTTTTGACCCCACAATATGCATTATACATAACCATCTATTTACATATGCCGATAATTGTTTCAGGCAAATTCAATGATCAGTAGGTCCTTTAATTTTTCATTTGAACATTCTGATGCTGTTCTCTTCTACAAACATGTAAGAATAAACTTTTCTTTCGCCTTGTGTAAATGCTTGTTGCAGCAGTTCTTTTACCCATTTGACCAGTTTCAGCGGGTCACATTTCTCTCACTATGCGCAAAGCCAGCATTATAGCGCAAAAAAAATGTTATTAAATCATAAGTGGAAGCACTGATGCAAAACTTGCCTGATACATTTCAGCACAAGCAGGCAATGTCAGCTTCTGGCCATATTTGCAGACATAGGTTTTGTCATTAGA